GGTGCCAAGCAGCCTGGCCTCCATCAACAGCAAGTCCACAGGCAACCCGGAGCCTTGCTGCTTTGGGTTTGCCTCTGTCTGGCATCTGATTAAAGACCCTGTCAGAGTGTATTTAAACCCAGGAGTTCAGAAGGCAGCAGCCTCATTTCTCTCTCTTGATGTGTTTTTTCTAAGGTTGCTTTTTAAAATGCCACTTCAGCTTTCCAGCCATCCCTGATGAGTGAGACACTGAATGCCCTCGGCTCCTATTGGACCCAGTCTGCGTTGGAGGGCTCAGCACCTTGCTGGGTCAGGCCTGAATACCCTGGCATTAAATCCGTGATTGAGCTACATTTAATGTGGGATCCTTAATTGGGAGGCAGGAGTGCTCATCTGGAGGAAAGTCTTGTCTCTGTTAGTCACTTGCACCTAGGACTGCTGTGGGAGAAATTGTCAGCACGCTGCCCATCTTGGGATTCTCCCCTCTTTTGTTTAATATGTTAGATGAATTTAGTTTTGACCAAAGGTGGAGACCAAAGCCCTGTGTCCACAACAGCGCCGGCATAAGCAGAGCAAGCTGCCACCACACTAGCCGGTCCTCAACCCTGATCTGCAGGAGCCACCTGTAGCGGGAGAGGATCGTATAATCTCCACAGCCAGTTCAATCTCTGATCCCACTGCTGAGGCTGTCAACAAGGGGGCTGGTTAGTGCTAGTTGGGATGGGGGGGGGGGGTGAAATTTGATTTGGGCAGAAGTTTTTGCACAGAGTTTATTAATCAAAAATGCGGTTTCTGGTGAGAAGTATTTGCAAGTTTGATGTAAATTCACCAAATAGTTTCAGCCACACCCTCTTTTCAGGATTTAGGCACTGTTCATAAAATATGGGCTGGGAGGGGGTGCCCTCCCATCTTTTAGCTCAGTGGTTAGGGTGCTCACTTGTAATGTGGCAAACCTGGGTTCAGTTTCCCCTTCTGCCTGATGTGGAGAAGGGATTTGAACTCTGGTCTCCCAAGTTGCAGGAGAGTGCCCTAGTTACTGGGCTGTGGGATATCCTGATGTGGATTTCTTTGTCGCCTCTTGAATCTGTTCCACTTTGTATCAACAGTCATTGGAGTAGGGGGCTTGAGTTTGGGTCTCCCACATAGTAGGTGAGTGCCCTGACCACCAAGCTGATAGTCATTCTTGCCCCGCTGTAAGTCTTTGCTCCAGTGGCTATTTAATTATTTATACAAATTTGAACAGCTTCAATAGCAGAAATTGGGGGGGGGGGCGCGGCGGGAGTGTCGTCAGAATATTCCACAGCCCGGTGACTAGGGCACTCTCCTACGATGTGGGAGAGCTAAATTCAAATCTCTTCTCCACATCAGGCGGGGGGGGGGGAATTAAACCTGGGTCTCTCACATCCCAGGTGGGTGCCTTAATCACTGTGCTAGATGTTAGAAGAAGGGCACCACCTCTTCCTCTGGCCATTGTGTGACTCTAGCCCTCTAAGAATCTAGCATGTGGGGGAGGGATAGCTCAGTGGTTTGAGCATTGGCCTGCTAAACCCAGGGTTGTGAGTTCAATCCTTAAGGGGGCTATTTAGGGATCTGGGGCAGAAATTGGGGATTGGTCCTGCTTTGAGCAGGGGGTTGGACTAGATGACCTCCTGAGGTCCCTTCCAACCCTGAGATTCTATGAATACACAGAACAAAGCATTTTGGGTTGAATGATGTTTGTTCGACCCAAAATGTATTTTTTTAATTCACCAACACTTTTCGCAACGTTCAGAGTGTTAGTTTACTAAGTATTTTCGGAAGTGCCAGCAAACCAAAAACTCAGTTGTTTGCCCAGCTCTACTTGTGATGTGGGACACTTAGTCACTTGAAACTACATTGAGACCCCCTGACTGGCTCCAAGGTCACTGAACAGCAATCAGAGTAATGGCTTCACCTGGTCTGGATTCCGTTGCTAATCCTGTGAACGCCCTGCTCATAAATGGCACAGGGCTTTCCGCACTAAGGCAGATTGCCACCTAGGGGCAGGTATCTGGGAATCTCCCCTGTCAGGAAATGACTGACCTCTGAGGATGTCTGAAGCCCAGACTGTGTGGAAGGGGTTTCCTGATGCCTCTGTCCAAAGCAGGGCACAAAGGGAAGGTTGCCTGTTGTGTGCAGGTCACTGGGATTTAAAGTCTGTCTTCCAGCAAAACCCAGCTCCAGCAGAAGGCCTGCGGTGCAGGCGTGGAGCACTGAGTGACAAGTGAATGGTCCAGACTTGAGCAGCTGGTGGAACTTACATGCTGAGATCAGTTTGAGAGATTCAGTCACAGGGTCCAAGACAGATAAACGTGAGTTACAGCATCTGCCAGAGGGAGAAGCCCTCAGAGGCCCTGCCTTTCCAAGCCCCTCACTGCACTTAGAGCATCTGGAAGCGACACAATAGGGAGCCCAGGCAGGGTGCCTTCTCTAGGAGAGATGACTTTTGGTGAGTCTGAATTACAGTGCCCATAATGAGATCTGTTTGGCCCATGCCTGTGCCTCCCACTTCAGAGAGAGGGAGGGAGAGAGTGCCTTGTCAATTGAAGAAGATCTCTGTGTGGCTCGAAAGCTTGTCTCTTTTGGTCCAATAAAAGATATTACGCCACCCACCTTGTGTCTCTTGTTAATTGCATGACAGCTGTGCAGCCTTGAACAATGTGGAATTGTACCCATCTCTCTCGAATGCTGGGGTTCAAAAACCATTATTTAGCTGTTAAACCATCTCCCTCAGTGCAGAGGGATGACCCACAGGCTACAAGATTCTCTTTTAATTTTCTGCTTTTCAAGCTAACCCAAACTCGCAAAATTTTTGCCAGCTGAAGTTTCTCACATGCAAGTCAAAATGGCTTCAGCTGGAAAAAATTGTCTCTTGACAGGTGACATGTCTGACCTGCTCTGTAGTCATTTGCTTGGCAAGATTCCTTTCATCGGGACTGTTCAGAAATTGTTCCCTGGCATTTAGGCTGCAAAAACTCTAGCCAGCTACACACACTGTTCTGGTTGATTAGAAAAGAACAGTTCCTGCTGGAAGCATGATCTAGCGGTTAAGATACAGGACTGGGAGTCAAGAGATCTGCATTCTCCCAGCCCTGCAACAAGATTGCTGTGACATGCAGGGCAGGTAACTTCACCTCTTTGTGCCTCTTTTCCCCGTCTGTGATGTGGGAATAATAATGCCTATCTCCCTCACACAGTATTAGTGACCAAAGACTTACTTGCTTTAGCTTTCTGACCTCCTCTCCCAACAATGCAGATCCCCAAGACCTACCTACTCCGCAGTTAATACTGGGGGCATCCACCGTGTCAGCTGGACCATGCTGCCCTGGTGTAATGCTAGAATGTGAGTGCAGCTAATAACTGGGACCAAGTATCCTTGGTGGCTCAGAATTCCACTGATTGCTCATACCAGAAATGCCTGAATTGCAGGGAGAATAGAGGCTGGGTTATCAGGGGGCTTTTCCATTCTCGGAGTCCAGATCTATGTTGGGGGAGTCTTGATGCCTGGGAATGGTGGGGAGAGGTCCCTACTGCGTGAGTTGCAGCACTGAGACCCAGTGTGACCTTGAGGTGTTTGTGGGGCTGTGGTACTCTTATGCTCCCTGTGTATCGTGTCAGTTAGGAGAGCAATTAGTTTGGCTCACTAGCAGGGTCAGACTGACGCTTGGCATGGGTGTGCCTTGCTTGCTGCAGACTTTCCTGGTGTGGAGAGGAAACAAGCCAGAGTATCTGCTCATTATTACATTCCCTTTACTGATGAGGAAACTGCATCAAAAGAACTAGCTGGAGGCCACAAAGTGAACCAGTATCTTTCCCTCCCATGCCCTCTCCACTGCTTCCTAATAGTCACTGGATTTAAACGGAGAAGCTCTTACTGAAACTACTGGTGCAGATGGGTGACACCCATATCTTGGGTAGGGGAGCTATATCCCAGGGTGTGCATGAGCTAGTCCCCTCCCTGTTTGCGTATAATAAATGAAAGGGGGGTAGTTGATTATCAGGGAATGTGGCTTGAGGTTACCTTGGAGAAGAAGCAATTCTGTTATCTGCCATGTGCCGTTCTCCTGCTACTACATTGTTTGGAGATGCTTTATGCAGCACAGAACTTTGCAAAAAGGGAGTTGAATTAGGTAGATGAAGGGAGGAAGGCTGGTCATATGAATAAGGCAAACATAAAGAACAGCCAGACTGGGTCAGACCAAAGGTCCATCTAGCCCAGTGTCCTGTCTTCCCACAGTGGCCAATGCCAGGCACTGGAGTCAAGTGACCTGGGTTCTGTTTCTGGCTCTGCCACAGACTCCCTGTGTGACCTTGGGCAAATCGCTTAGTCCCTGTGCCTCAGTTTCCCATTAATAAAATGGGGATATTTCCCTGCCTCACGGGTAGGTTTTGAAAATAAATCAAGTAATGTCAAAGTGGGGGTAGGGAATAGAAATTCCTAGATAGGAGAATAAAATGAAGCAAGATGTAGGAGGCTATTTCACAAAAAGGCAGGTTTTGGGAGTCAGCAGTGAGAATGGAGCAGGGATATCCCGAGTGTGGGCACTTTGTAAGGTGGAAAACTCAGAGCGCTATGCAGATAGGGACTGGGACACTGCTCCACACACAGGCTGGTATGGTGGCAGGTACCATGAGGTCAGGGAATTGGGTGGGGGCGGGCATGTGTTGCAGAGATCCCATAGGGCCTTGAAGGTGATGGGAAGCTTGAATTTGATAGGATAAGAGATGGAAACCGAGGGCTGGGGGGCCGGGGGGGGTATGGACTGTTCCGTGTGGAGAGGAGGCTGGATCAACATGTATCTGTTTAATAGCGTTATCCAATGGGAAGCATCTGATCTTAGATGAGCCAGATTATTCTGCTGGCCAATCTCGCTCCAACTCTCCGAGGCTTTGTACATATGTTTCTTTTTCTCTTTTAGAAGGCAGCATTAGTGTCCTGGGCTCTGCCTCCTTGTATTGCAGCTTTCCCCACCCTGACTTGTGTGTGTGTCTCCCCACTTTAGCAGCGTCGCCCTTAAGCTGAAAAACTGGCCAGCACAATGGGAAAAAAGCAGAACAAGAAGAAAGTGGAGGAGGTCTTAGAGGAAGAAGAGGAGGAATATGTGGTGGAGAAAGTCCTAGACCGGCGAGTGGTGAAAGGCAAAGTGGAGTATCTGCTGAAGTGGAAAGGCTTCTCAGAGTAAGTGGAGAGGTTGCATCCCAGTCTGTGATCCCTCCTTGTGCTGACAGTGGTTAGGGTGTCAGTCTGGGGCTTGGAAGACCCGGGTTCATTTCCCTGCTCCAGTACAGACTCCCTGTGTGACCTTGGGCAAGTCACGTAGCCTCTTTTTGCGTCAGTTCCCCATGTATAAAATGGGGATAATTGCCCTGCCCTGCTTCGTAGGGGGATGGTGATGATTAAGACATTCAACTACGGTGAGAGAGTGCCAGTCCGACTGGGGGAGCAAGAATGTCCCACTTCCTTTCTCCATGAGGAGCCTTTGGGATGGGCTGTTCACAGGCCATGGCAGTCCCCAGCCCCTCCTTCCTCTCTGATCTGGATGGTCAATCCAGTTCGGTGTACGTGGGAGGAGTAGGGGAGACATTGCCTTAAAGGATTCCCCTTCCTGTCCCTACAAAGCCAAGTCTGAACTTGTGAGTGAAGTGCATGTGGGCTGGTATAGAAATGGGTCACACCTACCCATCAGGGCAAGTCTGTGAGAGGCTTCAGCTTCTACAACTCAGCCTCCTCCCTTCCAGATCAGGGTACCCAGAACACAGCTAAGGCTGTAGACAGGGTGTAGACAGCTACGGCTCTGATAGCATCTCTGTGGCCCTGTGTCCAGGGCGTCCCTTCACTGGCCTGAGCCACAGGCTGTAGTAGTGAGAGCAAGCTGTCTCCTTTGATTTCAGCGAGGATAACACGTGGGAGCCGGAGGAGAATCTCGACTGCCCCGACCTCATTGCAGAGTTTCTCCAGTCCCAGAAAACCGCACATGAGAGTGAGAAATCGGAGGGGAGCAAACGCAAAGCTGAATCTGACACAGAGGACAGAGGGGAGGAGAGCAAACCAAAGAAGAAAAAGGAAGAGGTGAGGCAGGACTACGAGAGGAGAACCTTCCCATCCCCTATTCATGAAGACTTGTTCCTGGATTCATCACTAGTGTGTAGTAGTTAGAGCCGAGGACAGGGAGCCAGGCCCCTCGGGTTCTATTTGCAGCCCTGCTGCTGACAACCTGTGACCCGCCCCGCCACTTCCCTGCTGTAAATTGGAGATGATAATAGTCACCAACCCCACAGAGAGGCTAATTGTGTCTGTGAGGTGCTTTAAAATCCTTAGGCGAGCAAAAACATCCTTTCTCATCTCCCTGTCTCTGTTGGCGTGACGGCGGTTAGAGATCAAGCCTCCCCTTCTGAGCCAGCGGCCAGCTGATAAATCTGGGGCAGTGTTTAGGGCGAAGCTGAGGTGCCCTCCTGGAATGGTGGGCAGAGTCCACCGCCCCCCACTGACCTCAGGTCATCACTGACTACAGGGGATAAAAAAATCCACAACAGGGACAGTGGTGCAGGTTATTAGGTCAAAACAAGGGAACGAGGGGGAGCAGAGAACAGAGAACCCTGGAAAGTTTCCCCTGCCCCCAAAGGGTTGGTGGACTCTGCCAGATATGGACAAGGGACCAGAAAAGGGCCCCGCTGTCCCAGACAACGCCCCCAATCTGGCTTCCTCCTCCTGGGCTGATGAATGAACATCTTGGCTGGTGCCAGGAGGAGGCTGGCAAGCAAGGTCTCAGAACTTCGTAGGACCCCAGCCTGGGAGATCAGGTCCTTTGTTCCACATCATGGGCCTCAAGGAGGTAAGCACCCCGGCTGCACCTCAGACCTGACCTGGCAGGATCCCCTCGTGGTGCTAGGAGAGTTCAGCTTTCATAGCCCATTCAGTTTTCTGCAGGCACAGGCCTGAAGCCCACCTAGTCTCAGTCTCCCGCCCTCCCTCCCGCCCCTCCGGACAGCAAGTAGAAACTTCCCTCTTTGTCTTTCAGTCAGAGAAACCACGAGGCTTTGCCCGGGGGTTTGAACCTGAGCGGATTATCGGCGCCACAGATTCCAGCGGGGAGCTCATGTTCCTGATGAAATGGTGAGTGTGTCTGTGTCAGTCACTTTCTTCACTTACTCTGTGCCAGAGAGGCAAGGAGCTGCACCTGGGGAGTCTCTGCTCGCTGGCCTGAGAAATCTCACGGTGGTGCTGCCGCCTGACTTGACCCTCGGCGCTGAGGCTAACGTGGATTTGCTGCCAACAGGTAGGACCCTTGGGATTCTGGGATTCTTAAGATCTCTGCCACAGGCACAAGCTTGGGGAGAGGAGGGTATGGCTTGATGGTGCTGGCCTCCAGTTCCGTGTCTGGAATAGAGCCACGTCGGACACTGCTTCCCCGGTCAGCTGTGCCAAACAGGGTTGGGCCACTGGGGCAGGGGGAATCGAGGTCTGTTCAGCCCCAGCTGTGGCCGGAGGTGGGAGCTACTTGTCTTGCTTGGTGTTGCGTACTGCAGATGAGATGCGGGGCCGGGGCTGCAGCTTTGACCCCTGCTCCCCACGGTCCCTTACAAACCAACAGCTGAGCCCAAGCTTACACCTGAACTTGTTTGGTGAGCTTCCTGCATCTCAGCCATTTGGAGCATTGCTTGGAAAACCCATCTGGCCGAGGCCTTCCTTACCTGCTGCCTCTTGGGTTACGCCAGTGACACCTGTTTCCAACCCCCTGTAGGAAGAACTCTGATGAGGCTGACCTGGTCCCCGCAAAGGAAGCTAACATCAAGTGCCCCCAGGTGGTCATCTCGTTCTATGAGGAGAGATTGACATGGCACTCTTACCCCTCGGAAGACGACGACAAGAAAGAGGACAAGAACTAACCCACACCTGCTCTGGCCAACCTTTGTATCAAGATCAGACTGTGGGTTGGAGCGACAGTGAGAGAATGCAGCTCTACTTAGCGGAGAGGTGGCTTGAGAAGATGCCCTTTGAAGAGGCAGTATGGTGTCTGTGCCCTGCAGCTGCCCGAGTGTTCTGTGCAGCCCCATGCCAGTGTCCAGCTTCAAACCAGCCTGACATGAGGGGGAGGGGAGACGTGTTTCAAGGCTGTCTGTTCTGCAGCTTTCTGGAGAGGAAGTGAAAGCCCCTTCCGCTGGTGCTGGGTAGGCTGGGGAAAGGGAGAGCAGATGAATACTGCTTGTTCTTCAAAGACCATCTCAGCAACCCACAGCCTTCTTCCCAATAGTGTTAACTCTGCATTTTTACAACGTAGCATGTGTGTAGGTTTTTTTCTTTTTGCTATTACTGGTGTATCAGTTTGAGGTGGGGTGGGTCTTTTTAATGGGGTGGGGGGGAAACGGTTGACAGTGTTCCAGATCCATGACCAGAATCCTCTTTTATAAACATCTTTATTAACTTAAAACCCCAAGTATTGGTAATAGGACTAGGGGGAGGGACAATGGTATGAGACTGAAGCTGTGAATGTCCAAATCCTCAATCCCTAGAGCAATGTTACTGGGAGCGAAGGGGGGGGAGGCACCGGCAAAGATGCAAGCCTGTAATTAGTAGTGTCTCCAAACAGAACTGACTTGTGCATTGTAAGTGAGAGGGTGGGGAATGGGGAGGGAATTGATAACCCCTTAAAAGCCTTCTACCCCCTTTGCGTTAAGGTGCTATTTTGTGAAATTAGGGAAATAGAAAGTTCTGATTTCTATTTGATTTTGTTTCAACCCCAATTGGATTCTGTCCAGCTGGCAGCATTGGGAACCCCTTTATTCTCTGTATGTATGTATGTATGTATGTGATAACATGTTCCTCCCTGTTTTTAATCCTATTAGTGTAATGTGAGAGGGAGGTGAAATCATTTCAAAATCCTCCCCTAACAAGTGATTTGTTTTTCAAGCCCAAACTTCAGCACTGGAGCCAGCTCTGTTGCTCTGCTGACATTTTTTTAATCAAACGGATTTATTAAAAATACTGAAATATTTAATGTCTGGAGTCATGAGCTCCTACAGGCTCCTGGCACCTCCTTGTAGGGTGATATGTATCTAGAACTGCATTGTACAAACCTTTTTTTAAAAGCATGTGTTTAGGTTTCTGTGAAAACATTGTTTAAATGTAAAGTAAGTGTTTGGATTTTAACTTCATACCAAGCTCTGTCCGTTTTTGGTCTCAATAAAATTTTAGATTTATAATCCCGATTTTTACTTTTTCTCTCTTTAACTTGCTCCCTTCTGCAGCTGTTGTTGTGTGAGTCGATCGCAAGGCGTAGAGCAGTTAATGGAGAGGAGTGAACATGTTGCTGCAGATGTCCGCTCTCAACAGGACTGGATCACTGACGCAGCAGGGGTGATAGGCCCGTGCATTTGTGAATTAGGTGGCTACAAAGGCAGGAATTTCAGAGCAGACAGCAGTCTATTTATTTTGACTTCCCATCTGAAGAGAGCAAGAGTCTTGGAGGTTAGTGTCTAGTGCAAGTTCCTGAGTCAAATCTCCTAGGGTTTGAGTAGCCCTGGTTCTGATCATCACTGGCCAGAGACTACTGGGTCTGGATGCAATTTGCACCAGTGGGACTTACCCCGGCTTGAAGTTTGTGTGTCTATAATGCCACGCGTCCACGTGCTCTTCCCCACTTAGCCAAGCGGTCAGAGGGGAACGTGCAGCACAACCGTGGAATGGGTGTTCTGAGGCTTCCCTCATGTTTAAAGTACTTTAGGATTCTGTGCAACGAGTGCAGAGTGTGGTCAGCTGTCTTGCCTGCAGCAGTGGTTTTTATAAAGCTCTCTTAATGGTTCCAGGGCCTTGGGTCCCAGGAACATCAAAACATCAAAACAGGAGGTCAGACCTTCAGTCCTCACTAACTCCTGTGCCAGCCTTTCAGGAGTGACAGAATGCCGCAAGCTGGCAAGAATGAACACGCAAACCAAGGGTACTGCGTCACGAAATGTACTGTGGCTGGTTTGTTTCAGCCAACTAAGGCATCCTGGCGTAATAGGAAACGTGCTGTTGCATATTCTGAAACCTGAGTAATTCAGACAGCTGCAGCCCTGGGTCAGCGGGATGGGTCACTCGAGTTTGGAGTTCTGCAGTTAGGGCAAGAGGAACTAGGGAGATTCTCATCTGTTCAGGGCCAGTGAAATCAGAGTCAGCCAATCAGAGTGCTGGTGCTTAGTGACACCAAACTGTGCAGCCAATCGGAATGCAGCTTCTTTGTAAAAGTGCACTCGGGACCCAACAGTAAATGACGTTAGAGCCTCTGCTGGGCCAGCTGAGGATGTTAAACCTGTATCAGTGTCCAGCTAATTGAGCATCCTAAGGCTTGGATCCCATAGGAGGGTCTGGTGATATAAATTGCAGCAGGTAGCGGAAGAGGTTCTAGTGTAGTCAAGACCCCAGGGATGGAACTGCAGCTTAACAGGTAGCGTCTGGCTTTCCTCCTAACAGTGTTAATGCTGCACACATGGGGGGAGCTGCCTCGAGTGGCTGGAACAGGGCCGGGACTAGGGGTTGGTGAGCTAGGTTCTATTCCCAGCACTGCCTTAGTTTCTCCATGTGTGAAGCTAATCCTCCACCATTGTAAAGCCTCATAGAGGCACGGAGCAGGACTCTTCCCTGGGCTGTGTTGAGTGGTGCCCCTCTGCTCCTGGCAACAGGCTGGTGTGCTCCCTGCCTAGAAGTCTCATTAGGAGTGGGGCTTTGATGGACCCTGACAGGGGAACAGTAGCTATTTCCTTGGCAGGCTCCAGCCGCAGTCCTTTCACCAGAGCCTGTATGTCTGGGAAAAGCAAGGGGCTGCCCTCTCTTGTCAGGTGCTTAATGAGACTGTTAATGTTGAACTGACTGACCCCAGTGGTGAATAACAACAGAACAGCCTGATGCTTCTTAGAAATGATGTTCTCATAGAAACTGAATTGTCAATGGAGAAATACTTCCTGCTTTTGAAAACAAAGGTCTGAGCAGTGGGGAGGCAGCTTGAACCATGGCATGCCGCACAGGAATAAGGTGAAAGCAGCAATGTAGGTAGGTGTTTAAGCCCCTTCCCCTCTACCTCTGGTTTGTATTTAGAGGCCAGAGCCTGGCTGCCTAAAGCGAGACGCAACAGCTTTGGGCAGGGAGCCCAGAAGTAAACGGCTCTGTCAGGCTAATTTTCCTCTCAGACTTGCTGCTTTGCAACTGCATGGGTTTTGAAGCAACAGAGTTTTGTTTTTGTTTTTTCCACTTGTCTGGCCTGCCAGGTGGGCAGGCTGAGAAACTCTGACTCCAACTCACACAAGCACAAATTTCAATCGCAGGATCAGACACAAAGGTGGAAAAGACCCTGTTGGAACAGATTCCTTCCCTGCTACATTCTTCTGGAAATCAGCATGATCAGTGGTTAAAGCAAGACTCAGGTTCTCCCCCCTTGCTCTGTGGCCTCAAGAAAGTTAATGAATCAATTTGGCCCTTAACACAAAAAATGGGTGAAAATATTCCTTTATTAACTGTTTGAGCTTTGAGATCCTTTGCTGAAAGGTGCCATCACAATGCAAATGTTGGCTATTGTAAAATGAAATCCAAGAAACACTCCTGGAGTAAGATGTGCCCTGAGCACTAGGACATTGTAGTTATCTTTGCTCAACAGCACTCTGTATGTGGTCAGTTTCATGGTTTCCCTCCCTTGTGTAGTCAAGGGGGCCAACTCACACACCTGATCAACTTTCCTCATGTAAGCATTTGTAGGAGCAAGGTGGGAATCAGTTTCCTGGGCTTACTGCTCACAACAACAGGAAGAAAGTTTGGAAAAACCTTGTAAAACAATTAACATTTTCAGGGTGTCTCAGCACCATGTGCAACCTCTAAAAATACTTTGAATTGACTAGGTATCACATGAGTGGTGTCCATTTTGAGTAAACCCCAAGAAGTATTAGCCCAGGGGAGAGTAAAATTTACAACGCAAAACTGCCAAAACTAAAAATCCTATTTAAAACAAATATCCTGAGGTGTTTAAAACCATTTAAAATTAGCTGCCTTATCGTCAGGGCTGCCTTCCTTTTTGCAATTCAGCTTGGAGTGAAGCTGGACTGCTCAGGGTCACATACTAGCAGCAAGACTGTTTCTAGTCCTGTAAAAGGTTTAAATCCTGCAAGAAACCCATGTCTTCTCAGGAAAACACTTATTTATAGTATATAAAATCCCCACTTTCCTAAATGGGAAGAGGGGCTATTCCAATGGATGCACTAAGTAAAAAGAACACTTGCAGATCATCTCACACATTCATTTGCTTTAAAGGCCCTATTCTGCCCTAAGTTTTGATAAATTCTACAGAGAACTGGCTAAAAAATATTAGGGCAGGAACCACTTTGGCCCATAGGTATAAATCCATAATAGGAGCTACAGGAAACATTTCAGGGCCCTTCCTGGGGGTTGTAGTCACTACTAGAGACTGAAGCTGATTTTCCTTACCCAGACTTTAATATGGGAACTTAATCACATCTTTAAAAAACTAGTTTGTGTTCCTAGTGATGTGCGCTTTGCTGAGGAAAAACAGCTATCTGTTTCACTTTTGTTTATAGCACATTTCCTTAGCGGAAAGTTAATTAAACCCATCCACTTATACTATTTTCAGGGGGATTTAAGTTTAGTGAAAGCATTTCTAGTACCGGTTTGACTTTTGAAATGTAGAGTTTTGGCCTATAGGTTACGGTCCCTTTAATGAACAGCTATTTATTCTCTCATAACCAGGGGGAAATTGCTGTAGTATGGTCATTTTTGAAATGCACTTTATTTTCATAAGTAATTTGGGGGATTTAGAAACAGGATGAGCATGAGCTTTCACGGGAGGCTGGGCTCCAAAGTACTTGTGAAAACGTTAACCTGTGTCTAATGTGCAGGATGCTTGAGTCTGCTTCCAGCTTTGGCAGCCCTGTTTCCTCAGCTGTAAACCAGGGGTAGCTCTTGTCACAGACCTGTCTGTAAGGCGCTGTAGGATCTTGGGACTAGAGAGAGAGGTAAGTAGAAGTACAGTGAGTGGGGGAGCAGTAGGGGGCTTTTAGCAGGCCCAAGCCTCTCCTCTCTCTGTAAGAAGTGGGATTTTTACTCACAAAAGCTTATGCTCAAATAAATCTGTTAGTCTTTAAGGTGCCACCGGACTCCTTGTTGTTTTTGTGGATACAGACTAACACGGCTGCCCCCTGATACTTGTAAGAATAACAGACCCCTAAGCCTGGGAGGAGACGCCACTGCCACCAGGATTGCCTCAGAGCACCTCCTCCTCCTTGCAAAGCTTCTGGCACAGGAGCAGCTCATCTTTAGGGGAAATACAGCGGAACGGGCTGAGGCTCAGAGAGGAGTAAAGGGGCTCTGGGCCCTCAGCTCAGATCTTTGAATGATGGGCTGCAGATTAAGGTACTGAGCTGGGCCTCAGGAAGTTGGGTTCAATTTCCAGGTCTGCTACAGTTTCCCTAGACTTTGGCCAAGTCACTTCATCCTCTAAAGCAGGAACAATTACTTCCTTTCTCTCACTGTTTATCGTGGAAGTTCTTTGGGGCAGGGTCTATCAAAGAGGCCAGACTTTCAGATGACAAGATAGAATAATAGCTCCATTAATATCATAGACTATCAGGGTTGGAAGGGACCTCAGGAGGTCATCTAGTCCAACCCCCTGCTCAAAGCAGGACCAGTCCCCAATTTTTGCCCCAGATCCCTAAATGACCCCCTCAAGGATTGAACTCACAACCTTGGGTTTAGCAGGCCAATGCTCAAACCACTGAGCCATCCCTCCCGCAAAGTAACATCAGGATCTGGCCCAGACAGGTGCTGGCTGAGGCAGATCCAACTCCCCCAGCATCTGCCTCAAGAGAACTGGGCAGGGTGAGTGGAGGGTGTAACCCCCTGGGTGGGTTTGGCACCTGGAGAACACCCTCACTGCTCAGGTTATTAATCATTAGTTCTGCCTCAAGAAAGGTCTGGAAAGGCAGCAAATGTGCAAAGAGGCACACTGCCTGCAAATGACTGAGCTTGGATTTGTCTCAAGCCTCTGCCCGACAACCACCCCATGGCGCTGTGCCAGAAGTTAACACCACAAATAAACCAAAAGGGGGAGGGGGAAGTTAGGTGCTTTGGAAAATTCTACTCACTAGCTCCTTACCTAACTCCCCTTGACTTTGAGAGAGACTCCTTAGTACTTGTCACTTGACAGTGGGAGGGAGGTGATGTT